TCAGCAGTCCACGAGGTCTTTCTAAACATCTTTACTAATTCTCCTCTTACAAAGTCCTCCGAACTTGCTGACCAACTCATTTTTCCCTTTTAACCTTTCTCCCTCACTTAGGTCAGTGACCCATGAGTTCGTCTTTAAGCTGACCCCACCAGCTCAGTCCAGAAACAAGGACAAGAAGAAAACAGAAAAAAAGGAGCAAGCAAACAGTACAGCGGTACTTCTGACACACACGCAAAAAAAAAAAAAAAATCTTCAGCCTCCTTCCCCTTTAACGTTAGAGCGTAATCAATCTAGCATGCTAGATGACACCCAAGCCCCGCCTCTAACCCAGCTTCCCACCTCACTTTGGCTGACGCAGCCAATAAGAGGGTCGAGGTGCTCACACACCATAGGTTGGCGCATGCCCCCCCTCCTCCCCAGTGCTCCACCGCCTCCCTCTGCCCAACCCCCTTTCACTGACAGCCAACTTCCTGCTCTAAGTTACCTTGAGCTGCAGGATAGGGGTCAGGGAAAAGAAAAGAGGAAGAGAGAGTGCAGCTGAGCGTCGGTGAAAAAAAAGCAAATAAAGTTGCAGAAAACTCAGCAGGGAGTGTGTGTGAGGGTGTGATCTTAGTCGCTTGCCTTGGCATGTTTTTTTTCCTTCCTCTCAGGCGGTCCTCGTCCCTTCAGCTGCTGGTTGGATGTGAAAAGCTTCACAGGCTGCTCTCTGACAAGTGCTTTCTGCTTATTTACAATGTCAAACTAAATGTCTCTGTCGGCCCCGCCCCCTGTCCCCTGTTACAGGCCCACACATCGGTGATGCAGGCAGTAAAGCTCGTCCATCATTGGTCGACAGAAATGCCAGAACTGATGCCGCATGTTGCATCCACATGATTTAAAGTACAAAAGCATACTAAAACCAGCCTCCCTGTCTCTTGCGTGTACACAGGCTCACATGCACATCCACACAAATGCACATTTTGTCCTTGCCTTCTCGTTTATCCTTGCTAAGAGGCACAGGTACGTACTGCAATCATTTAGCCTCAAAGCAGCCTTATTTGTTGTGATGACATTCATTGTAGTGATGATAACACACTACAAAGTGAACATTGACATGCATTAAGAGGTAAAACAAATGTATGAGACACATGAATACTATTTGGGGACAAAGATTCATTCTAAAACCAGATTCTCTAAGGAGCTATGCACAAAAACTCCTAAAGATAAATCAGCTGACTGGACAGCAGTTGTGAAAGATGGAGAGAGATAAGACAGAATATGATTCTTGTTCTATTTGTGGTTAAACAAGACTCAAGAGATGTGTAAACAAAGACTTGTTGTTTTGACCCCAGGAATCTATGCCCACAGCAACTTCCACAATTAAAACATCATCAGAAAAGCCACATCAGCAATGTCACACACAATGCCCTTTTTGTCAAACAATGACTGCCTTGATGTGCAAACTTTTTGTACAGAAGACAACTTTGATGTATAAAAGCAGGGTGTTCCTGCTGAATTGTATAACTAATCGTGAGTTTTGTACCAGACAATATGCAAATCATTGAGGAAAAACACCTTTCAGATAGGCCAGTTTTATGAAGCAGTTGCATATAAATCTTCAACATAATGTGAAACAGAAAGGTCAGGATAGAGAAAAGAAAAGCTAACCTGTCCCATCAATGAAAAACCTAGGAGGGGGGAGGGGAACCGGAAGGATGGAGAAGGACAGAGAGGAGAGTTGTTATAGGATGGGAGGGGTAGAACAAGTGGAGGGAGGGAGAGGGAACATGATAGAAACTCAAGAGACACAAAGCTAAATGTTCCCTTTTCTATTTTTGCAGGGAACATAGGGACTGGGGCAGATACTGCAGGCATCAGGTTAATGATTGCATCGCAGCTGCAGAAAGATTAAGCTCTCCAACAGCAGCCGACATGCTACAGTGCTTTTCAGTTGAGCTGAGTCCTGGGCTACCCAAAATAAAAAGGCCTCAATGACACACAAGGTCACCATACTAATGAAACCTTCCCATGACCTGTACTGCCCGTAGTTTTCTTTCAGTGATGCTGTTTAGAGATAAACATGTGCCAGCCAAACGTTGGGTTTCATAAACACACAGCACCCTCAGGGTGTCGAGTCAAACCATGCGTTCACCACAAACGTGTAAACACATGACCACCTGCAAAACAAAATGGTTAGAAGGCTAATTTGCTCAAAGGTTATTCAGGTTTCAGCTTTCATCATAAAAGGAACATCCTTTGGTATAAAAATGTGGAGCACACTTACTTTGCATAGGTAATCATGTACCTTGAACTTTTTTTTAAACCATTTTGCCACTTTATAACTAAAACCTAAAACAGTCTATTTTTGTGACTTGATGTGACTAAGAAACAAAGAATAGCAGTACTTCAGAAATATTAAAGGAAAAATTTAACAATTATAATTGGCATATGCTGATAAATGTGTTGCACAAATCCAACACTATGGACACAGTATCTTTATTTTTGAGACACAGTGGATGCTGTTTAATACATGGAGATGCTTTGATATGGAAATTGGTGTGAGGATTCATTAAACTAAATACAGAGTAAGCAAGGGAGAGTATGCTGGAGGATATGGGCAGATTATGTTGAGGCATCCTGCAAGAACTAAGGCTACAATGACAGCAAAAGTTAGTATAGTCATCAGTATAAAATCCCAATGAAATGCACTGAAATATGAAGTGCAAAAGGTATGGCCACCTTTGCAGATACTATGGGAAGAGGGAACTAGAGGGATTCTAAGTGGGAAATAAGCAAAGCCGTGGGAGAGTTGCAAGACTGACTAAGGTGTTTACATCTGACCTTAAACAGAAAATACTTTAACAAACCGAAACCACAGCATTTAATGTAACAATGCAAGAAGAAGAACAGTGTTAAAATAGAAGCAAAACCAAATTGGTCAAATAAAAAACTAAAAAAAAACGTCTGATACAGTGTTAAAGTTGGTAATATTAGACAATGGTGTACTACAGATGGACGCTTTTTTTTTTTTATGGCCGATGACAATTATTTTGACATTAGCCAAACCGATCCCCAAGATGTGCTGCCGATAGTTTTTGGCCAATACTTAATGCCAATCTCCCCCCCCCCCCCCCCCCCCCCCCCCCCCCCCACCCCCCCCATCCTTCATTTAAATGATAAAAACAACAATTATTGCAAATTTTACAAAAGTATTAATTTAGACCAGAACCCAATTCAAACAAGACATTAAAAATAAGTAGATGATGTGGCAATACATGTTCAGCTGATCTCATGGCTGCTGAAAGCACAAATGATCGGCCAACACCTAATAATAAAACAGTAATATCGGTCTTCCGGTGTATATGTCCATCTCTACAGTGTATTATATATAAGGCAGGGTGCATAGTTTCCTAACTTTAAATAACCAAGGAAAGTGGGTGTAGGATTAAGCATTTAAAGGGTTGTTGACTTTGCTAATTAGGATAAAACAGGCCTAACTCATGTTTAAAAATCAATGTTATTAAAAATGTCCAACAGCAAATAATAGTATAAAAAATAAAGGGAAGAACTCCTTTCTATGTTTTCCAAAATTAAACTAAAAGTTTACATTTTAAGCTTCAATGTAACTGAAAACGGTACTAAATGGCAGCAAGCAAGAGTATAATTCCTAAAATATCAGAGCAAAGCGCAGCGTTTCACTGACCAACGGTAACGTTAAACGCGTAAAAGAGCAGCCACAGCAGGGTATCTTTTCTCCGCTAATAATTAATGTCCGGCTGGTCAATTAGGTGGCACAGTACAATAAACGACTGAAGTTTACGCTAGCTTGCTGGAGAACCTCACTGGCCGTGTAGCACAGATATCTATTCGCCGAAGGAGCGATAATAGTCACTAATTGCCAACGAGTCCTGTCACCATATGAAAGTTTGCAAAGCTTGGAAGAAACAGTCTAACCAATAAAGACAACGTTTGGATCTGTCCTTCAGACCAATCAAACCTCGGACTAGATTCCACCAATCAAGGTTTTTAAGGATAAGTTCGTTCTGCAACTAACGCCATTCGGGCTCTCATCGAAGTGGCTAACTGCGCTAACAACCTAGCATACAAGCACCAAAATGGCGTCCGCAGAACACCAGTTTCCTGACCACCCGTGATCCTTAGAGCGGGCCACCAATAAGCGCCTCAGAGAGCGGGGAGGGAAATGGCGCCTGTGTTCATCTTCCAAAACAATCGTCTATTGGTCAAGAACAGCAAATGAAATTATGCCAAGTAATTGCCCCCACTTTCGTTCATTACAGATAGCTATCTTGATAAGAACACCAATGTAAATTAATTTCAGTCTCTTACTTTCTTTTACGGGTTCGTTCGAAGTGAAGTCCGGTTCAGCGTATTATTTATTTTATTTAGCTTGCAAAGAGAAACAAGATGGCGGCTGCCTAGAACCGGAAAGACATTTACGCGATGACGTAGCAAGTACGTAGAAGACCGATGGAGTTCAGTGAAGGCTGGCCACACATTTGCAGCTAATATTTTAAGGTTGTTTATAAGTACAAACTATTAAAATGAATATATATAACGAAAACCAACCATTATAGAGTTCTATTCGTAACAATAAACGTTTGAAAAACAGAAACCCCAACTGCCTTTTAAGTATTTAATACTACGGTAATAGAATCTCAACTACCACAAAAAGATTGCTTTATTTTTAAACCAAATAGGGTATTATTAAGAAGTTTTTAAGAGATGTCGGAAAACCATTGGTTTAAACATTGCTAAAAACTTCCTCATTTTTAAAGATATTTAAATTTACTCTGAAATATTTCAGTTCCAAAAAAAAAAAAAACATGGGAAATCATTGTATAGATAACTCCAAAGTTTTTAGAAAATCCCAAAAATAATATAATTTAGGTAATCTAACTGTATGCTCTGTTTGGTCGTTGATAAAACGACCAAACCTTGTTGATAAAAAAGTGCACCAAACAAATGCATGTCAGTGTCTTTTGTGAAGGAGAGAAAAGGGGTACAGCAACAGAGAGGCTCTTTATTGCTTACAAAATACAGCCATGTTTTAACATTTGAATTAACTAAAAATTTTCCCTGGCATCTACATCACATTACACTAAAGCAAAACATGTTTTGATTATCAAAGTATAAACCAAAATCATTTTTTCCATCACAAGGGACGTTTTTTTTATTCATCAGACTAATCCTTATTAGGGATTTCTTAAGACTATTTTCTAGCAACAAGATCCATGAGGGCACAGGTGATTTTATCCATATTTGAAGAGTAGCGAGGATCCCTCTGCATCCTGCTGTCTTGTTCCATGTGCAGGGGGGGTACAGAGGAGTGAGAGTCAAAATAGTTCTCAGGCGGAGGCTTGTAGTCATGAGGACGCATAGGCTCCAGATAATCAGGTTGGTCATCTAAACCAGAGAAAGTGTAGATTAGAGTGCAAACCAAATTTTCCTGTAAATCATTGAGCACACTGAAACCACAGATTTATTAATAATTAAGACATTAGGAACCTTTAAGAGATTACTTATTAAAACAACTTCACAGAAATAATAAAAGTGAATAATTTAAGCATAAAAGCTTAAAAGAATGGAATTCTTTTAAGCTTAAAAGAATAAAACTAGACAATTCTGACATGGAGGACTTTTAATCCTTTGAGACTAAACTATTTTACCAACTACAAAAATTGATCAGACCAAGTCAAGTTCAATAAGATACTCTTTTTCCATTCAAATTTTCCAATTTCCTTTGAGATCGAGGCTTGTAGAGTAGACCATGTTTTAAAAACATGCAAATTGAACAGAAAAACAGGTCCATCCCTTATTAATGGGGGAGTCGTTGTGGTCTTTTTTACTGCATGTGTGTGGTCTTAATTCTTCTTTTATCATGAATCTGTACCCATTAGTGTCTGTTCTGCCGTACCTTTAAAACGACCTGTGCTGGAGTGTCTGGGTTCCCCATGGTTGTATTCATGGAACCGCTGTTCTGGAACCTGTTCACGCTGATTCCAACCAAGTCTGTGGCCATTGTTGAAACCAAGCTCCTCTGATCGTCTGCGGTCAGGCTCCTCTCGCTGGGGTCTGTCATACTGGTATGGTTGAGGAAGCTGTGGGTCGGGTATTAAGTCGCTGTTATTTATAGAGACAACTGCTCCACTGTGATCTTTGTAAATTGGTGCTTTGCTCATTTCAGTTTTTCCACACATCTTTTCATACATCAGAATAAGACAATTTCCTCAAGACTTAAAGGAATAGTACACCCAAAACATGATAAGCCTTCATTTTCTACTCACCTCCATGCTGAACAACACTCTGGAGTACTTTTTTGATATCTCAAATGCATCTGGAGATCTGGGAGGCTTCTTGCTGTCTCCTGACATTCAAATAATGGAGGTCTATGGTGCCCGAGACAGAAAGGTCCATAAAAGTCCACAAAAATGTGTCAATATTCCTCCATACTGCTCGTCCAATGTATTCCAAGTGTCCTGAGTGGGTAGCATCCAGAATTTACTCGAAACGAAGTCATTTAGAATGTTTTTAGAGCATAAACAGTAGTGTATAGGATTTCCTGAAAGCGCGCACCTGCGCGATCCCGACGCTACGGAAGCCGGCAGACCAAACCAGCGCATTCAGCTCGGCAAAGAACTCATGCTCTTCCTCAACACTGAAGTCCTCAGACATTTTTCTTTCGTTGTTTCTTTCTTTGCACAGGTAAACAGCACATTTCTTCTTCTACGCTTGCATTATCGGCAGAGCAGACGCTGAATGCGCACTTTCATCTGGTTTGGTCTGCTGGCTTCCGTAGCGCCGTGATCGCGCATGTGCGCGCTTTCAGGAAATCCTATACACTACTGTTTATGCTCTAAAAACATTCTAAATGACTTCGTTTCGAGTAAATTCTGGATGCTACCCACTCAGGACACTTGGAATACATTGGACGAGCAGTATGGAGGAATATTGACACATCTTTTGTGGACTTTTATGGACCTTTCTGCCTCGGGCACCACAGACCTCCATTATTTGAATGTCAGCAGACAGCAAGAAGCCTCCCAGATCTCCAGATGCATTTGAGATATCAAAAAAGTACTCCAGGGTGTTGTTCAGCATGGGGGTGAGTAGAAAATGAAGGCTAGTCATGTTTTGGGTGTACTATTCCTTTAACTCCTTTATTATCCCCTTCATACGATATACATTTCTCAAGTTCCCCCTGAATTCATTGCACATATTTCCACACTGATTAGAGTTTGAATATCAAGCTTACAAAAGCACACAGAATAACAAAGGAGCAAAAGAAGAATGGGTGGTTGTAGGAAAGATGGATGGAAACAAAAACAGACAGATCGACACATTTGGATAAACTAATGATAGATGGATTATGGACAGACTGACTTGATATGTAGATGGAGGAATAATGACAGTATGGCCTAAGTTGGGAGGAATGAACATAAGGAATGAAGAGATAAAAGGAGAGACAGACCCATGGATGAATTGTGACAAAGGATGAGCAGATTGATAAATAAAGATGGATGGAGAAACAGCTGGTGGATAAAAAATGAACAAAATGTGGGATTTTTTTTATAATGTAAAAGCATACCGCAGCTTTCTCCATCTTTCTGGCCTTAAATTCTTCCAGAAGGCTCGAAAGTTTGCTCTTTAGAAACTCTGCTTCTTCTGCATTCTCAATTTCAAATTTTTCCTGTAAGAAAAAAGGATTTTAGAGAAGCATGTATTTAGCACCTATTTCCCAACCATATCCAGAGTTCTGATTAAAATTAAAAAGAAAGATCACATCTGTCCTATCCTGGCTTCTCTTCATTGACTTCCCGTTAAATCCAGAACAGAATTTAAAATCCTCCTTCTCACACATAAAGCCTTAAATGGCCAAGCTCCATCTTAAATCAGAGATCTGATTGTTCCTTATGTCCCCAACAGAGCACTTCACTCTCAATCTGCAGGTTTACTAGTGGTTCCTAGAATTTCTAAAAGTAGAATGGGAGGCAGATCTTCTGGTTATCAAGCTCCTCTGCTGTGGAACCAACTACCAGTTTTAGTCAGTGAGGCAGACGCCCTGTCTGCTTTTAAGGGTAGGCTTAAAACTTTCCTTTTTGATCAAGCTTATAGTTAGAGTGGCTCAGGATATTTATGCTGCTATAGGCTTAGACTGCTGGAGGAAATGGGGAGTCCTTTTTCTTCATTCTGCTCCATTCTATCTCTATTCTCCCGCTCTAAAGATTTTGTTAGTTCAATCTCTAACGCTGTGTTCTCTCTGCTTTTTCTCATAATAGCTTCATCTGGTCTCTTCCTGTTTGGCTGTGACTCCATCCTGGAGAAAAATATCAGCTGTGCTGCTCCCATCAACACCTTTGTTTATAGATATTTGAGCTCGGCCTAGTTTTCAGTGTAGTCCTGTTTCCCTGACTGTGACTGGCTGGATGTGCTCACTTCGTCCTCTGACGTGGGATCAGGTTGGTGCTCATCTGCTTGGCTGTGTGTTTCCTGTACGAGGCCGCCTTTGGAGTTGGTTACTTCATATCTCTGCTACTTTCTGTATGTCTGCTTCTGTCTCCTTGAACCCCAGTCGGTCTTGGCAGATGGCCGCTCACATTAAGTCTGGTTCTGCTGGAGGTTTATTCCTGTTAAAAGTGAGTTTTTTCTCTCCACTCCAAACATATAAGTATGTTTGGAGTGAGGGCTTGCCTTTGAGTCAATGAATTGATGCAATCAGCTGGTTTTCCTTAGATAGAAAACTTTGAATCAATTTGACTGTATGATCTGGTTGAATTGTCTCTGTAAAGGGCCTTGAGAAGACGTGTGTTGTGAATTGCCACTATATAAACTAAACTGACTTGAATATACAGTACATACAATAACTCAGACAGTTAAAATGTTCAAAGTGTGAACAGTCGTACCAGAATCTCAAAGATGCTCGTCTTTTCAGAGCCTCCTCGGCTGTAGCCTTCTCGAACATGTGGAGGCTTTAAAACAAAAGCATCAACATGAGATCACAACAGCGGTAAAATAGCCTAATTTCATTAAATCTTGGATCTTGACTTTAAGAATCTTAAAAAAAAATTGACAGCATTTCAAGAATTAGCCAACCTGTGATTCTCCATAGGGGATGTCTGGTCTCCCTTGTGCATCAACTGGTCGAAGATCTACACCAGTTTGAGTGTATGAACGTCCATAGTCATCTCTGTACCTTAAAGCAGATTTAACAATATAAACATTTGGTCCAACCAAAGATCAAAAAATAGGTGTTAGGGAGAGGGTTTCCTGAAAAATCCATCTATCTATTCTTTACACTCACATGTCCTTTGCCATATTTACTTCCTCTGGAGTGGCATCAGAGAAACGGCTTTTTCGTCTGCGCTGTCCTTCCTCATCTCCGGCGCTGCCTTTTAGGAAGCGCCTGAACGGCTCTGGTATATTAGAGATGGTACTGGGAACTTCTCCATGTGTCTGAGCTGGAGCAGCTCTCCCTCTGTCAAATGCATCCTCTAGATATGGGCCCTTCCTCTCATGATGATAATCTTTAAATATGTCAAACAAAGGCTCACGGGATAGATCGCCTTCGAAGGGAGCAGATAAGTTTCTCATCTTGGCTTCTGGTTCATTTGACCCTAGTCTTCTCATACGGTCATATCCCCCAGACTCTCTCTCCAGAGACCATCGCCGATTGCCCTCTTCTGTGTGTGACATTTGCGGTGAGGGCTGGTATTCTTGAGAACGAACTTGCCCACGCCGAACTTCATCGGAGTAGAACTGCTCTAGAGGATCTCGTTCTGGGTATGGTCTCTTAAGGGATGAAGCTTCAGGTGGGTAATCAAGGGAACAAGGTGTTGTGTTCCTTAAATCGTAATCTTCCCTCTTTCTGCGAAAGTCCTTTAATTCAGGTAAGAGTGGGGGGACATCTGGAAAGGATCTCTGAGGGCCGGTCTGCAGCCTATCAGGTCTCTGTCTCGGTTGAACTGTAAAAAGAAATAGAATTTTTAATGGACAATTATCTATGAACAATAATGTAAAGTCCTATCAAATAGAAGCACATTGTTTTAGTTTTAACGTTCAAATGTCTTTAGGGGAAACAAGAATAAGCAAACATAAATAAACGAGTTATATTTCCACATTTCAGTTTGGATGCCCAAAGCTGAGACCAACAAGTGGCCTGCAGCTTATAAAATGTGTTCAAAGGATCTTTGCTTCCAACCATCGTGTCTTTGTGCGACGCAGAAAAGGTGAACAGATGGACTCTACAGGCCTGGTTCCCACCGTGAAGCATGGAGGAGGAAAAGTGATGTTGTGGGGATGCTTTGCTGGTGACACTGTTTAGGATTTATACAAAATTGAAGGCATACTGAACCAGCATGGCTACCACAGCATCATGCAGCTGCATGCTAATCCATCCGGTTTGCGCTTAGTTGGACCATCATTCATTTGTCAACAGGACAATGACCCCAAACACACCTACAGGCTGTGTAAGGGCTATTTGACCAAGGAGAGTGATAGGGGGCTATGCCAGATGACCTGGCGTCCACAATCACCAGACCTGAACCCAATCGAGATGGTTTGGGGTGAGCTGGACTGCAGAGTGAAGGTAAAAGGGCGAACAAGTGCTAAGCATCTCTGGGAAGTCCTTCAAGACTATTGGAGGACCATTTCAGGTGACTACCTCTTGAAGCTCATCAAGAGAATGCCAAGTGTGTGCAAAGCAGTAATCAAAACAAAATGTTGCTACTTTAAAGAACCTAGAATATAAGACAGATTTTCAGTTGCTGCATACTTCTTTAAGTATTAAATTCCACATGTGTTCATAGTTTTGATGCCTTCAGTGTGAATCTTCAATTTTCATAGTCATGAAAATGAAGACAACTCTTTGAATGAGAAGGTGTGCCCAAACTTTTGGTCTGTAGTGTGTGTGTGTGTGTATATATATAAAATATGTCAATCTAAGCCGTGTAACAACATGTTAGAAATTAGAATGCTATGAAAAATTAAACTTAACAACTGAAGAGTTTTGAAATTTACACAAAGGATGATTTTATTTAACCAATATTTTGATTGGTTAATAATAATAAAAATATGTCTATATTCAACAGAGGAGGAGGATCAGCTTTGGAAAAAAAAACATGAGTTAATAAATTAAACTCATGTTTATTTGTGGTTATTTTCTAATCAAATGCAGAAACCGAAAGAAATTTTCTTTAAATGTAATTTGAAAATAGTAAAATTTTTAGGTTTAGGAAAGGTTCTAGGTTTAAGAAAATTTCCTAAAGCAGTTGGAGTAGCAGTATCAATAAGCTTTGATTGTAGGCTACTCCACATTAGTTTAAAATATTTCTCAAATTATTTATGATTAGTTAGAAAATATTTGTTAGAACAAATTCTCTGTATTCTAGTTTTCTTTAGGGACTTAGGGACTGTTTATCTTCACTGAGAAAATGGGAAAGCCTTGACAAACCTTGATTTTACTGAGAGTTGCAATTTTACGCAATTCATTCAACAGACCAAACTGTATTAATACTGAGAACTTTGTTATTGAGAGAAGTACCTCTTCATGCAACTGACAACTAAACTGAGTTGTTGATCAATATAAAACTGAAAAATCTCATCTTCAAAACAACTAATTTGCAGGAAGATTTTACTGTACCTCTGGAGATGTTCAGTCTTCCTTCCACCCCCTTTCTCAACAATAGCTGAAACAAGTATGCGAACAAAAGTAAAGTTACAAAATATGAGGAAAAAATTAAATCTTTAGAGTATTTTCAACATATCAGTTTTTGTGTATGTCTGACTTCCGGCATCCCTCGTCCGTTCTGTCTCTCTATTATCTCTGCTTTGGCTCGCATGATCTTTCCTCCTTGGGTATTTATGGTGTTACCGTCCCACGTCACCAAGTCCGGACGTTTTAACTCCTATGAAAGCAAAGGATTTGTTAATATGTAGATAAAAAGCAGAAGAGATAATCAAGAGTTTTTGCTTTTTTTTTTTTTTTTTCAACACTTTACCACATATTTTTGTCGGTGTTTACGACCAATCACATGGCAGACCATTTCTGCAAGGTTGGTTGTCTGACTGCACAGCTTGCAGACGTATCTGGCACCAAACTGCGGATCATGGTTCACAACTTCCTCCAAAAAATTCAAGCCTAAGATAAAAGCATTAAAAGTACATACTTTATATACAATCCCCACAATAAGAGGAAAAATCTGTGCCGTGGTATTTACCAATTATCGGCTCATCAAGATTCAGGTACTCCAGGTAGTGTAAGATGTCCCTGAACTTTGGTACGATGTGTTCTCGGACAGCCTTCCCTGAGAACCCAAACACAAACGGTTAGTAGAAGGACAACGCAAGAGGACAAATAGGTTAGAAATGTAGCTTTTTTTTTAGATCTACTACAATTACAGCTCAAACCTCAGCAGAGAAACCCAACATAGGGGTGTACTTCTAGGAGGCATCATAGCCATCTGGTTTAAGCAGACTAGAGCTGTTATAATGAAATGTTGTTTCATTTTAGTTGGGGTTTTTGTGAACGACCTGCCCACATATTGACTTAGATGATGGGTTTGGTCAATTGAACAACCCTCACAGCTTTCTTTGGAACATTTCTATATGATAAAAATGCTCATCTAGGGATGTTCTTTCAATTCAACAAACTGGACACCCTCCTACGCCTGGTGCAGGTCGACGAATGTGCACATGGCTTAAATCACATTTTCTGGACATCCTCCGTGTTTTTTACCAATGTTTGAACAGAGCGATGAAGAAGGCATTGATTTTCTTGTTCAGGGGTGTAGTATCCCTTCTGTGGAAGATGTTTATATTATTTATGTCAGCTGTTCCCATCCAGGCATCTGTACACATGATTTGGATCCACATTTTATGAGACGCAGTTTAGAGCCAGAATGTTTAGTGGACTGAGACATTGAGAGATTTTAGCTCTGGTCTGTTTGTCATAACACACTAGAGTCATGCCAATGCCGCTGTATATGAAGCACCATTCTGTAAGCCCATGACGCACAGCATCACACCTAAATAAAGGTGCATTCCAATTCAAGTCATAAGTTGGAAATACCAACCTAGGAAATTTCCACTGGAACGCCTCCGAAAGTCAGAATTATGAATTGGAACGTCAGGGAAACACCTGACCTCAGCATTCGGAAGGCCCGCTACTCGCAACAGTAATAAAACTGTTACTTTTACAGTTTTTAGGAATTCTTTCCATTTTATGTGACATTTAGGCACCCGCTACTTTTCACTGTTTAAAAGATTGTTGACTGTGTCCGAACGGTCACCCCAACCCCTACAGAGCACTATACAGGTGTTATACCATTCTGTAAGAATGACCGAATGTCCAGTGTATGAAATAGTAGAGCTCTCAAACTTTTCATCCAAGTACCTTGAAAAATAGTGTACATCGATGGTCAGATATATCCCAGCATGCTTTGCAATGGCTCTCCTCGCAAAGCACCACGGGATTTTTGGGGGGTTGAGAGAGAACAAAAATGGAGGCACCAACGTTTCATGTGGTCAACGGGGAGCGAAAAGTAGTGATGGCTTGTCCTAATGATCAGTTAACTAAGTGCAAGACACTTTATATAGTGATTGAGGGATTAGGGCCCGCATTCGCACACAGCGGGTGAAGAACACTAAGGCCCACAAGCAGGAAACTACAACACTATCACCAAGGAGATCACGTCACGCTGACTTTCCAGTTAGGGGAATGGAACGCAGATTAATACTCCAACAGTTACGATCTCACCCTCTACAGGAAGCTCTTCTTCTTTGGTTAAATACTTTTACCTCAGACTTTGAGGAGCTGACTTTCATCTCAGCATGTTTTTTGTATGTTTGGCGACAGCTGGGAGTGGTGGTTATGTTTGGAGAGGCACTTTAGATGAGGTGGTCCGGGCTTCTCACCCCAGACCCCGTGGAAAAGTCAAAACATGAATTATCAAGAGGAAGTGTGGATTTCCCCCCTTGAACATTCATTCTGAGACCTTAACTGAGACAATGGATAGACTGTTGCTCTGCAAAAAATCTTTTCAAGTTCCAGCTAGTCACATGATGCTGAAAGAGCAGCAGATGTCCATTTATATACTAATTTCTTGGCAGACGACAGCTTCAGTTGAATCAGCTGTTACCATCACGTCTAACCAACTCAACCACAGGGCACGGCCATATGAATCCTTAAGCCACCATCCAGTTTCAGGCTCTGACACTGCCGAGAAGCTCTTTTATCCATCCAATCCAGATCCGTCTTGAACTAATGTTGGCTCATTTTCTTTATGATCTTCATTTTCATCAGGTCGTTTGTTTCAGTCTTTCATAATCAGATGAGGGGACCCTTGTTGCTGGATGGTAAAAAAAAGGTGTGATAGCTCATCTAGCTAACCAGCCCATACACCATTGCTCTACTATAAACATGGAGACCCACAATACCAACAACACAGACAATAGATTGAAAGAAAATGTGGGCGTGCTTTTGTGGTGCAGTGGTTAGCACACACAACCCACGTACGGAGGCCTTAGTCCGGGTTCGATCCGGCCTGTGGTCCTTTGCCGCATGTCTCCCCCCCGCTCTCATACCCCCTTCCCTGTCAGCCTACTGTCCAAAACAAAAACAAACAAAAAAACAAGCTAAATTATCTGTGTGGGAAACCATCCCTCAAACTTCCCTGCTGACTCTTAGTTGGCTTTTAAAAGTTAGCGTTACAAAACTGTTGGAAAATTTTGCCTCTGACCCTTTATACAGCTTAAAGTCTTTCCATTATATTCCAATAAAGAGCTGAGATTATAAAAAAAAAAAAAAAAAAAAAAAAAAACACAACATCTAAAGCTCTTTGGAGCAATTCAGCAAACCATCTGTTTAAATGAGATTTCTCACAAACTTGCAAAACTAAAGCCAGCATGGCAGGGGTTAGGTGTGTATCAAAACATCTTTAGTTTTGAACATAATGGTGTTGTTGCACACCTTTGCTTATTTTTACATTCCCGAGAACAGGAGCTGAAAGAGTTTTCTAAAACCAGCCAATGTCGAGTCAATAAATGTTACTTGTAATCACACCACTTAAAATAAACGGAAAGCCTGTGGATCAATCAGTGCTTCTTTAGGAGCCGCAGCAGATCCTGAATGGGACCGCAGAGTCGCTGCTTACAATGCTTACCAAGTGTTCTGGGGAATAAAACCAACCAGTGATTTCAATAAATGGTGTTTATGGCATTTCATCCTACAAAACCATAAACTAGGACCCTGTGTGCACAACTATTAGGCAAAACGTGATCATTTTCATACATATAACGTACTTGGATAAGATTTGGTCTAATGCCCCCTATATCACATTGTGCATAGGTAATAGTCAATGTCTACTCTTTAGGCAAGATGGACCAAAACAAAAATGTAAACAACTTTGAAACGTCAAAAATAGCTCAACAAAATCTCTGCTGGGAAAAAAATATATCTTAAAATTACTCAGACATCGGGAGTGATCGGAGAGAATATTTTGATGCAAAAAAGGTTGGAGAAACATACTGAGGAACAAATTTAAGAAAACAAATGAACTTCCATAGATTTAAGAACCAAACGTGAAGTAACTAGAATCGCATTCTTCTTGAGTGAAGTTGAATTTCAAATCCACAACCTACCTGGGATGCCCAGAAGTACCAGATGTTCAGTGCTTAGAGACAGGGCTGAGGTATTGAAGGTGGAAACTTAACCACCACTGAAGAATAAATGGTGAAACATCTGAAGACAGATCATGAACTGATGTGATCAGATGGACCGGATAGACGAGAACCACAAGTGTGAGGGATTGCCTTCAAGTCAATGAGTCGATGCAATCAAGTAGTTTTCATAGAAAACTTTGAATCAATTGGACTCAATGATCTGGTTGATTGTAAAGTGCCTTGAGGTGATGTGTTCTGAATTGGCGCTATATAAATAAAACGCTAAGATACCAGCAGAGTAGATAAAGCACTGCTATCAGCGGTCATCATTCGAGATGTGTGAGATCAACCTTTTTAGGGTTAAAGGAATCATAATCCCCGAACCTACAGGCAGATTTTAGAATACTTTCTTCAAGCAGTAAGGCAAAAAAAAAAGTCTCAATGAAGAAACCCATGAACTTTCTGCATCATGCCGCTCCATCGCATCCATCAAAGTACTGTAGAAAGTGGCTGGTTAGGAAAATCCTTCAAGGTGAAAGAATAATGACTGGCTGGCTGCAGATGGGACCTACAGTCATGGCCAAAGGTATTGAGAATGACACAAATATTACATTTTCATATGATCTGTTGCCATCTGGTTTTCATGTGTGTACGTCAGATGTTGTCATCACATACAGAAATACAATTGCAATCTTATTATGAGTAACAAAATCTTTCAATGACAGAATGAGTTAATGCAGCAAGTCAATATTTGCAGTGTTGACCCCTCTTCTTCAGGACCTCTGCAATTCTCCCTGGCATGCTCTCAATCAACTTCTGGACCAAATCCTGACTGATAGCAGTACATTCTTGCACAATCAATGCTTGCATTTTGTCCTAGAATTCCTAGGTTTTCGTTTGTCCACCCGTCTCTTGATGATTGACCACACGTTTTCAATGGGATTAAGATCAGAGTTTCCAGGCCATGGACCCAAAATCTCTATGTTTTGTTGCCTGAGCCAGTTAGATATCACCTTTGCTTTATGGCAAGGTGCTCCATCAGGCTGGAAAGGACATTGTTCATCACCAAACTGCATTTGGACGGCTGGGAGAAGTTGCTCTCGGAGGACATTCTGGTACCATTCTTTATTCATGGCTGTGTTTTTAGGTAAGACTGTGAGAGAGCCGACTCCCTTGGCTGAGAAGCAACCCCACACATGAATGGTTTCAGGATGCTTTACAGTTGGCATGAGACAAGACTGGTGGTAGTGCTCACCTCAGCTTCTCCGAACAAGCTGTTTTCCAGATGTCCCAAACAATCGGATTCATCAGAGAAAATGACTTTACCCCAGTCCTCAGCAGTCCACTCCCTGTACCTTTTGCAGAATATCAGTCTGTCCCTGATGTTTTTCCTGGAGAGAAGTGGCTTTTTTGCTGCCCTCTTTTAGACCAGGCCTTGCTCCAAGAGTCTCTGCCTCACAATGCGTGCAGCTGCACTCACACCTGCCTGCTGCCATTCCTGAGCAAGCTCTGCACTGCTGGTAGCCCGATCCCGCAGCTGAAACACTTTTAAGAGACGGTCCTGGCGCTTGCTTGTCTATTTTGGGCGTCCTGGAGCCTTTTTGGCAACAATGGAACCTCTCTCCTTGAAGTTATTGATGATGCGATAGATTGTTGACTGAGGTGCAATCTTTCTAGCTGCAATTCTCTTTCCTGTTAGGCCATTTTTGTGCAGTGCAATCATGACTGCACGTGTTTCTTTAGAGATAACCATGGTTCACAGAAGAGAAACAATGATGCAAAGCACCAGCCTCTTTTTAAAGTGTCCAGAGGTGTCATTCTTACTTAGTCATGACAGATTGATCTCCAGCCCTGTCCTCATCACCACCCACACCTGTGTTAATGGAGCAATCACTGAAACGATGTTAGCTGGTCCTTTTAAGGCAGGGCTGTAATGACGTTGAAATGTGTTTTGGGGGATAAAGTTAATTTTCTAGGCAAAAATTGACTTTGCAATTAATTGCTGTTACGCTGATCACTTTTTATAACATTCTGGAGTATATGCAAATTGCCGTTATAAAAACTGAAGCAGTAAACTTTGTAAATATTAAAATTTGAATCATTCTCAAAACATTTGGCCATGACTGTACACAAAAAGTAGAAAACACTTCTGAACAGTCTTGGAGACTGTGGTTGCAAAAAAAGTGAATCGTCAACATCTCATGAAAATTGACAGACACAGAATGTAAAGGCTGTGGCTGTAATTAAAATGATTCATATGAATCAATTATTTTTTGCCACAAATTTTTCAACGAGTTGAATAACATTTTTACTTAATAATAGTTGCCCAATAGTTGTGCACACAGAGCTTAAACATCACTGTTACTTTTTGAAATAGTCTGATGTTTATCAATGTTTATTTTTGTGCACACAGTGGAAAAGGTGGACATTTAGTTTGCTGCTGCAGGCTTTTTATTTGGAAAGAAACAAAATCAGACTCTGATGCTCCAAATCAAATCTTTTTTGGGTGGATTGATCGTTTAAAAATGAGGCCCACTTACCCTCAGCAACAAGGGCATCCTCTTTCTGCCAGGGATAAAAGGAGAACAGTAGATATTAAATGAACGGATGCTGAACAAAGAACATGACTCCAGCTTTTCACAAAAAAAAAAGGCAGAAAAATTGTTAGATCAGAGAAAACAAACATATTTCATAATCATGCTTACCAGAGAAAAGTATTTTCATCACACCCAGTTATACAGAACCCACCTTTACTCACCTGACCTGTATTTGTTGCAGTCATTTTGCAGAAGGTCTGCAGATGTATGCAACCCCACATGCTCAGGTCAAATCAGCTTTGTGGGCACATCACATAAATGAAGCAGGTATGTGTACACGAGTTCTTCAGCAAACTGATCCTGATGATACTCTGGAACCTTTAACTTTTATACCAACCAACCAGAGAAAGCTGTGAGTTTCTTGTTTATTTTAAAAGCTCCACTTAGCTAAAAAATGTCCCCTTTTATACTTACTAGTTAAATGTCCAGGTAGAAGTGTACGGAGATCCTTCGTGAAAAGGAAGGATCACAGAAGATTAAATCGAAAACGATTTATTCTCTTGTGACAATCAAGTGAACGACAAAGTTCCAACAACATCAAATGCAGCAGAAGTAAAGTCCAAAGCAATTACTGCAGCCAGAAATGAGACTGAAGATGATGGCAGCTCACTGTTTCCACTGCCTTTCAGAAGCCAGATTTTTTATTTTTTTTTATCCCGTGAAACTGTTCGATGCACATTTACCTGAGAAAGGTCAGTCTCCTCAGTGCTCTGTCAGAGAAGGGTCTTCTAAAACTTTCCCCTGGAATGTCAGGAGAGGTTGTGTTCATCTGGATGTCGTGCATTGAGCCACCAGCAGCGACAGTGAAGATTTGTTTGCCAACATTTTTTTTTTACATTTACTTGTTCCAAAAATGAAGTTCAAGGATATTTTTCAATGAAAAGAAAAAGACCTATATTTAAAAAAAATTATGTTTAGTACGTTTATCCAGAATTAGCCTAGGTTGGAGTCTACTTTCAGAGTTTCCAGAGCTGTCAGGCTGCCGGCTCTGCTGGATATTGGAGTCAGGTCTCCCCTCTTATTGCTGCTGTAACATCCACCAGTAAAGCAGTCATTTTCCTTTTATTTATCTTTCACAACAATTAGTTTTAAGATGATTTGAAGTGCAAACTAAATGTGTATTCTCATGTTATTATCGCCACCTGCTGAACTGAAGATGTACTGCACTTTTTCTCAAGGTGGTTCTGGAAGTTGGGCTCCTGCCCTGAGGTGTTCTCACGAATGGTACGGTACTGAGACAGTGCTCAAAAAATCCACTTCTATATAAAAAAAGAAGAATTAACAATAATAAATCTTCATATATATAAATATTATTACAATTACAAGACAAAAATTAATGCCTAGATGTTATATTATTTATATATATATATATATATATATATATATATATATATATATATATATATATATATATATATATATATAGATATTAGTGGTGGGCATAGATTGATTTTTATTTTAATCTAGATTAATCTCACTGTAATCTTGGAATTAATCTAGAATAATATCGCTCATTTGAATTCTGCCAAAGGCATTCATGATGTATGTGCGCTACCTCAAGAATTTAAATGAAAAGATTTACTTATCACATGTAATTTCGTCTTCTTACTTTAAATTTTAACAAAGTCATAATTTTTGTTTTTACTCGTTTGTTACTGTATTTTCACTCAAAATAGTGTCCCACTTCCAATTATAGATGTCCTCTGACGCACTCGTCGCCTCAATCAACTTCTGATCTTTAGCGGCTTTTTCCATGGCGTAATGGTCATGTTTTCTCCTTATGATAGACCGCCTGGCAGGTACTCTTTAAGATGGGTCACCTGTGGCCGCCTGGAGAACAAGCTTGCTGATGGGCTCGCCTTTTGAGGTTATCCACTGAGCGAGGAGATTTGTTAGCTTGGCTGATAGAGCTGTGCTTATAGCTGCATCCATGTCAGCACGTCACGTTCGATGTGGTAAATTACAGTACGCCTACACAGGTTGGAAGACTGATTCCTTCACACCCACAGATATACATCCATGCTAAAACATCAAGGTGAGAGTCATTATTAGCATAGACCCAGCTCCCAACCTAACTTTGAGAATAGATTGACGATAATATTTCTTTTTTTCTTCCATTTTCAGTTATTTTGAGGACCAGAACCAGAAAAGTTTGGGAACTACTGGTGTTGTTCCCACATATATGGTTCCGAGAATGCACTGGCCGTATAGGATATTTTAGGATTACCTCAATAATTCCAGCATCAGAAAAGTGAAAGCCAGACGAATGGATGTATAATTCAAACAAAAGGGGTCTGCTGCTGGAGTGAATGTTGCAGATCAGGATAGATCCTCCCAAAGAAATAAAACGTATCTTAGGTGTAAACTTCCAATACTTACCTAAATGAATGCATGTAATATCTTCAGGGCTTGTGGAAAAGAAAACTTGCAAGGTTCTTTTTTATAAGAGGTGCTGACAATAGACATGTGAGACGAAGTCTTACTCTGAGCTGGTTGAAACTTTCCTCAAGAATGAATATATTCGGTGCAGCAATCACAACGTGAAGCAGAGCAGCAGCTACAGAGGAAGCTGGGTAGTCCGGATCAAGCAGGAATTTATCTTCTCAAGTTTCCACCTCAGAGTTTGTGAGCAAACCAACGTATTTTATACCAAGCGAGTGGAAAAAAGGAGAAATGGCTGACTTGGTGGTCCATTAAGAATGATTAAACACACAAAAATCTTAAGCGTATTGGAAAAGTTTTTCTTGCTTGTTTCCACAAAAAGTCCCACCATTTCTTTCAATCTTCAAGCTCCATATTTTTCTTCATGTGATAATGTAACAACATAGGTATATACAAATCTGCTTTTCAGTTAAATAAAACAACTATTTTTATTTGTGTAGTTTGAGCAAGAATTGGATCCAACAAGTATAATTTAAGGAAACTAAATATTTAACCTTTTTATGAAGCTATTTTCATTGCTCAGAACTAAAATTCTAAAACTGACTAAATAAATGATTGCTAATCATCTGTATTTGAGGGAAGAAAAAAAAAATTTGCAATATGTTTACCTTTAAATGCCCCGGAGAGGTCAGGTGTATCTTGTAGAGGCTGTTACCTTTTAAGGACTTTTCACAGACCTGTTTTAAACAGAGGTGAAGTCTGAGTCAGGTTGGACATCATTCATTAAAACACAAACATATTTTTTTAGAGTAAAAGGCAATTTGTGGCTAACTTATAACAGGTTTGTTTACCATCAGAGATTCATTTTAATTACAGTGCTATACAAAAAATTGGAAGAGTTTTCTAATTAAGGAGTCCTGTTTCAAAAGGGATCAAAATGATTAAAATTATCAAAAAGAGGCTTGTGCATTTTTATTTCTGTTATTCATTTTATTTCCAATGATGCCCTCACAGGATGCAGCTATATTGTTTTTAACACCCATCTTCTCTCAGTTAAAAAAACAAAACAAAAATAAATTTAATATTGTAATAAAAATCCTACTCTGTCCCCAACCCTTCAGAATAAAAGAACTACTAGATAGATAGATAGATAGATAGATAGATAGATAGATAGATAGATAGATAGATAGATAGATAGATAGATAGATAGATAGATAGATAGATAGATAGATAGATAGATAGATAGATTTACTTTTTTTTTATGTCTGGCATTCAAAAGAAGCAGACAAACATGAACATTGCATTTTAACTCAGGCTATCTTGGGGGGGAAAAAAGTATCAATTTCCAGACATAAACAGAATGCTAAATGCTAAAACTAAACGATGGCTAGCTATAATCACGGTATAAAATCAAATTTAGAAATGTACAACTTAATTTTACCTTTGCCACATCTCGGATACGCACAATTAAATCTATTTAAGCAACATAACCCACAGTCTATACACTTTTATATTTGCAAACCGTATAATTGTCATGCCTGCCTTGTAGGCTAACGCTAGCCTGGCGAAGCTAACCTTATGAACCATGTTGCATGATCGCTTTCACTTCATTTCCAGGCTTCATGCTCAGTCGCTGCTGCAGTGGTTAACTCACCGTGCATTCAATAAAACCATCGTCCTCTTCGTATGGTGTTTCCAGGTGATCCATCATTTTTAACGATCACTAACGAGATATTTATTAGCTTAGCAACTGTTTACCTGAAAGCAATTCAGCCTTGCTATTTTTTTCTGCAATGTTGCAAAAGATTGCACGCCAATTTGAGGCTGTTAGTACTAATTTAACAATATAAGATGCTCTGAAAACATGTTACAATGGATATGGAAAAACGAAACGCTTCATAATTCAGGCTACTTCCTGGGTGTTAGTGCAGCCTCTTCGAAAGCTCCGAAGGGGCGGGATTATTTGAATCACGCGCTCCGAAAATGAAAAAGCAGCCCCGATGAAAAAAACAAACGTACACGCAGAAAAAAAAAATTCTGAAAGGAGGACTACGCCCCCTTCTGGTCGAACTTCAATTGGTCAAACGACAATACACACTAAAAATCTTTCACTTCAGGACTTTATACGTTTTTTTTTTTATATTTATTATATTTTGTATCACGAAGCATTTGCTTTAAAGGGACACAAAACTGTTTTTAGTGTAGCTCAGAGAACTGCTTCCCTTTTCTTCACTGCATGACGCATTTGTTTGAAACTAAAAAGCATCACAGTAAACAAGAAAACACACTTCTTCACATAATGTGTAACACTACAGGTAAAATATATACCCAAGCTACTTGCATTTGATCTGGTTGTTAAAAGCAAATCATAAACAGTTATGATTTCTTCAATATTTACAAACTGTGTTTACATTGAGCAAAGATCTCACACAGTCCATTCACAAAAAGGCTTTATGAAAAGCATCAACAGACATGATTTGCTTCACAAAACTCAGATTTCTACGTTTTCTGAGAATCCTAAAATATACTTTTTTTCCATCAATACACTTTATAAAATTAGTGATTCCAGCTTGAGTGACTGCCATAGTGATCTCTAACAAAAAGCTTCATACACGCATGTGTGGGAAAAAAAATAAAAGGCATATTAGCAAATAAATCCAAATACTGGGACACATGGATCATCACACTCTGGTGCAAAACATCAAATCCCAACACTTTAAAGCTGTTAAAGTCAGACTGCAGGGGTAAACACATGAAAGTCCTGCCATACAATCGTAACTTATCCTTAAATTAAAAAGCCGAGTTTGGACATGGAGATGTAGACACTTGGGCTCAAGAGACACAAATAAATAGTCCAGTGGAGATCGGCAAGAACAGATGCTTTGTTCACATGAAAGGTTTGCTGAGGCGGTGAGTGGGCCGTCATTTGGAGGAGTTGCGGCGTCCTTCTGAAAGATTACTGAGACGCAATCGCAGCTCTTTTCGGACCTGAGACACCCTCATCAGTTTCCTCTTGTACTCCTGAAAAGTTTTCCAACAAAAGATAAATTAGAAGCTGTGTTAAAAAATATATATATATTATTTGACTTAGTTCGAGCTTCATTAAAGCCCATTATCACCACAAATACTACAATCTGCATCAAACGGATATTTAATATTTATATACAAAAACACGTGCGCTGAATATGAATTCTGAAGAAAACACTTTTAAAGTTTAATTTATTACAAAAATACCATGCGTCAGTATGTTTATAAATACATGCCCTTGAGACTTAATCTCATCTTTAAATTGCATTGGTATTCAAAAAGTATCATTTAATTCTGCTGTATTGCCTTGGATCAACTACTCTTATTCAAATGTTGCATTTTTTACACATTAAAGTTAAAGTTAATTTGAAGAGTTGTATAATAAAACTGGCCTGCTGCTGTAACTAGCATTGGATTAAATAACATGGTTGCAATACAGGGGGGAAACTTTTTAATGCACCTCAGTCAAAAAATATTTTTAAAAAGTATATTTTTTTTTTATCCATTACCCAAAATGAATTTGCTTTTTTTAGCTGTCTAATAAGTAAAACTGGAAATTCTTCTGCTGTAGTGGGTAAGTTAATTATGATTACCAAGCCACAGAACAAAATAAAAGCACGCAAACTTTTCAGTCTTTTATTTTCATTTTTATTAAACATTTTAGTGAAAACATGCGATATACTTCTTCCTCCTGGATTCCTGTGGATAAAAACTGCACGCCGCTGTCATAACAAAAAGAAGCACGGTTACTGGAAAACAATTTTGTTTTTTGTTTTGTCAGAGATCACGGAGTGTAAATACTTACCATAGGAGGAATTTAGAACCTGTGAATTGGACTAAAAGAAGTAACCTGAAATCATTTCTTAACAGTTGGACACTTCATTTGAGGAATTATTTTTTTATACACAAGTTGAAACTCAAGTTTCCCTTCAGATGTGAAATCAACTTTAATCTCACTAATAATACAAATGAACCCTATAACTGAAGAAGAGTATCACAAATGTGATTCAGACAGAAGAGTGAAATACTAGTAAAGAAAAACAGGAGTGATGTACGCACTTCAAGTTTCTGCTCGTTCTGGGCCAAGCCATCCTTCTGGCTCTGCAGGAAGGCCGTCAGCGTTCGGGTAAGCTGCCTCCTGTCATCGATCTCAGCGGCCAAGCGACCGCTGTAGTCGGCTAGGAGCATACAGGCTTCTTCCACCATCCTGGACAGCCGCTCGCCCGATTCTTTGTCTGAAACAAAAAGAAAAAAAAAAAAAGGGCAAAACTCGCTTTGAAATGTTGCAAAGTGCAGAGCTTAACGCTACACATTAGAATAAGGTCACTAAGCCATATTTAGTTTACAATTTGGCAACAACATTAGGATTTATTCTGGATATACAACTCCATATTTCTCAGCGACAGATCTGTGAGGAGGAATGGGCCAAAATCCCTCCTGCATTGAGTGCAAACCTGGTGGAAAAACTACAAGAAATGTTTGACTTCTGGAATTGCAAAAAAAGGCTACTGTAACAAATATTGACATTTATTTTCTCAGGTGTTCAAATACTTATTTGCAGCTGTAACTTAAAAATAAATAGTTTTTAAAAATCCTGTATTGAGATTTCTGGAACTTTTTTTTAGATCATGTCTCTCACAGTGGACATGCACCTACGATGACAATTTCAGATCCCTACATAACTTCTAAGTGGGAGAATTAGCAAAATAGCAGGGTTTTGAAATACTTATCTTCCTCACTGTAAATGATTACATATTTTGTCACCCAAATACTTAAATGGGCTATATCTTGCAAGATGAACTTTTGGGGATTCAAAACTTGATATGTTACTTTTGGTCATTCTGCACAGATTGAGTAATCCTTAACAATAGTTTTCTACCAGGCAGCTCCACCCACATCTCTAACAGGAGTCGCTCTGATTTCACCCTCGCAACGGGCCATAATATTTTCCTACTTTTGTTGTACATTTCTCTTTTGCCCTACTATGGGCTCCTACTAGTGCGCCACATCAGATTCAAGAAACGTTCTTGAGTAAATAATCATGAATGATCCTGATAAAAAAAAAAAAAAAAAAGTGTCCCATAAGGGAGAAATGCTCATGAGAAATGCAGCTATGCATAATTACACTGCACTGTTAGACGTAAAAATTTTAATTATTTTATCTGAAATGGTGTGAAAAACATGTGTAGAAAAACCAATACAGTCAATGAATGACCTTATGATCAGGGTTAAAACAGAAAACCCACTGTTTAAGTTACTACCTCTACAAAATCAATCATATTTCTTGGCTATGACCTCCACCTGCACCTACTTTAGAATACTATGGAAGTGTTTGTGAAGATGTTTTGAAACAGCTCCCTGACGCCGTCATTTGAGAAGTGTGAGAGGTGCTTGGCTGCAGTTTTTAGGCACAAGAAAACCTCAGCACTGATCTCGGGTCAGAGAGGTCTGCTGCCCTTCGCTCAACTTAAAATTGTACTTGCGCTTCTATGTGTAGCACCATATATACTCTGTGCAATTTGCCAAAACTGTTCACAGAAACATTTAGTTTTTCTGCACACTTTGCAAAAAGCCTATCAGTCATTTTGCATGACTTGCTTTAGCCAGTCTTTGAAAAAAGTAAAGTGAATATTCCATAAGTACATTTTCAATCTGGGAATCTTACTTATCTTAAAAGGTATAGTGGAGAATTTTTTGCAATTTTTTTTAAAAGACCCGCCCTCTCGATAAAAAAAAAAAATGCACATGCACGACCCTGTACCCGTGAGGGAACGCCTATTAAGCGTGTGCAAAAGCCCATTTCTCCTACTGTAAACAGTTTAGAAGTTGCTGTATGTATCGTTCATACAAGCTTACTTTCTAAAAGAAGATATGCAATTTTTCCACCATGTCTGATTAACCACCGGTAAATGAAAATGGGGACAAGCACGTAGGACGGCCTTATGTAAACATATCACTAGAATGATTGACAATTAGGGGGACAACTTATTTTGATGATCCATCCGGAAAACGAACATTCTCCACTATACTTTTACGTCCAGCTGACAGAATGAAACAGCACATCAAAATATTAATATCACGTTAGTTTAACAAAAATATTCAATGTACTTGATTGGATTTTTCTATTGAACTCAATAGTCTGAGTTAATAAACTTAAAATATTTCAGTTTTATAGATTGAGTTATAAAGTTTTATAGTGAGCCAAACTTGTGAAAACATACAATTTACCCCGATCAGGCCCAAAATGACTAGTTTCAACATATAAGGCGGGTCCAAAATGACATGTTATGAAAAGCAAATCAGCCAGCAGAACCAATTGATTCCATCAAAGTCACCTCAGATCCAACCATACAGTTAAACTTTTTATACAGATTTTAAAATTAAACAAACTTCAAAGGAAAAAAGTCAGCATCAGTGGAAAATTCCCAACATATTGAAGGGATGATGAAAAATGTACAACCTTTTACCATCCTGTATAAACCCTGATGATGTAAATAATTAATGCGAGGTTGCCATCAACCAACAAAACAACAACATTCTGCTTAATCTACTTTAAGTGCAATTGGAGGGAGAGGGGGGATGAAAAATAAATGTTACTTCTTCATACCTCTTTTCAGACATTTTCCATTAATCGGTGTCAGTTCTCTGGCTATATATATTTATTTATGGCTGTATCTTTATTTATGTTCAGGTGAAATGAAGTTTAGTGCTAACCAGTCTCTTTTTATGTGTATTTGGTTGTTTATTTTGTTTTTTAAGTTGATTTATTTATTGTTGTTTGTCAAAAATTGTCTGAAATAAAATTATTTTAATTCATTCATTTCATTCATAATAACATGGACACTTGCTTCCAAGTAAATCAAATGTAGCCATTTAGTGAAAAACTGGATCATTCATAAAAACTGCTCATTGCTGA